GGCCGCCTCCTATTTTTTTTTATTTTTTTTTTTATTTATTTATTTATTTTTTTTTTGAAAGAAAAAAAACATGAAAAGCAGTGCTAAAATGTATTTCTGATTTTAAAAAAGAAAAAAAAAAAATTGTCGGCCGCCATCTTGAAAAATAGCCGGAATGTCAGGAAAAATGTACGGAGCGGCCATTTTGAAAGAAAATAAAAAGAAAAAAAAGGGCCTCCTCCTTCCCTTTTTTTAAAAAAAACAGGAAGCTAAACATGTTTTTTTTTTTAAATCAAAAAAACGATCCAACTGTACCGGTAGTTATTCTTTAAGCCACTGGAACTGCGTAGAGTTCCGTAGTGTGGCGTACCGACTACGCAGAAATTAGGCTGCGTATTAATGGGGGAATAGTCCCTGCGTGGGTTATGCGTAGGCTGGCGAAAAAATATTAAACAGGTTGAATTGTTTTCTTTCATCTTGCGTACCCCTTTCCGTCCCTCAGCATATAGTAACGTAGGCCAGCGTAGTTGTTACGCAACACTACGCAACTCTACGTATTGACCACACGCCAATTAGTGACCCGCAAGTGTCACAAATAAAGTATTAAAAATATGCTCATCTGACCCTATACGCCTAAAACCCCCGAGCTTTCGGGGGTTTATGGCCCCTTGAAACCCGTGGACCCCACGCCTATATTATATATATACACTCAACTCGCTGCGATCTGATCTCTCCCCCCCCCCCCCCCAACTTTGAAAAACGTAACCCCCGAGCTTTTGGGGGTTTATGGCCCCTTGAAACCCGTGGACCCCACGCCTATATTATATATACACTCAACTCAGGACCCGCGGAAATCCGCGGGATTCTAGAGGGGGTGCGCAGGTAAAAAATTAAGTTTTTCATTTCGGGGCCTCCATTTCAAATTTTAGGGAAATTTTCGGGGGCTCTTTTTTCTGGGGCTACTTTTTCATTAATTCATATAGGTCTAAGGATAGGCCTACACTTTGTTGAGATTTGTTTAGTAGGCTATTAGGTTTCAGGCTTCCTACTTCATAATTGCCTATTTAAAAAAAAAAAAACATTTTTCTAGTTCAATAACTAAGTTTTCATGCATTGATTTGATGCAAGAACTGTAACATAATAGACCCTAGATCGTGATTATTTCTGACCACGAATTTCGATAATCATTTTTCAAAGTAAAATTTTCACAGGAAAATCAAACAGTCTTTTAAAAACGTAGACATTAGAGTCTAGTAATACTTTTACTAATTCTAAGCTCAGGTTTCGTAAATCTATTCACGAAACTATATTGAAATCGCGGCAATAATGATGCAAACCAACAGATAACAATTTCAAAGTGTCAAATCTCTTCGACTCGAATTCAACTCACACACTTTCAACTGCAACTCAGCTCATCTCACACAGTACACAGTACGTGGCAATGCACTGTCAGTTACGGTGATTTTGTCTGATTTTCTTTACTTTGAAGAAATGATTATCAAAATTACGTAAACATGGCGAGAACATCACAAAATAGGCTTTTATTTCATACCTCTATTTATGGAAACTTTATAATATTGCAGCAATCGTGAATTCGTGATGGAAATTGATTGCAGTTTCGCGATCGATGTTTAGTGGTTCATGGTCTAGATTCAGCTTCTACCGAAACAAAATCGACCGCCAAAAACTCGAGCCCTACGCTCCGTCTCGATCTCGCAACTGCGAAAATGTACGTGTTTTGGCGTACTTGCGTGCGACATGGTAAGCCAGGTAAGGTATGGAATATGGTTCGAGTTTTTTTACGACCGATTTTTGTGTATACAATTTTGTGTGTCTACGGATGCAATATGTTGAATATCCATGAGGTATCTCTGTCGTCACGCATATCCTGCATTATGCATGTCGCGTCTGTTTTCGCCCTGGACGTCGACACGGAGGAGGACCTCGGGCGGAGTATAGCCAATTCGCTAGAGTAGACTCTCCCGCGGACGATGGCACCGGTCACCGGGACCCCGAGGGGAGGGTTCAGGAGGAGATAGCTGCACCAACTTGGGTCGGCGATCTCATTAAAAAACAATAGAATACAAAGGCCGGCGGAGACGTCGCGCCCCCCGCGGAGCCTTAGCGTATTACTATTATAGACTAGCAGGACCCGCGGAAATCCGCGGGATTCTAGAGGGGGGCGGGGGGTGTAAATAGATATATAGAGAGTGTTTAAATTAAAACCACCAAGAACTTTATTTGCCATTCAGGCCATTAAATAAAATATACATGTTTAGCGTCCCCGCCCGCTTCCTTTTTGGGGGCCGCCTCCTATTTATTTATTTTTTGAAATTTTTTTGATTTTTTTTTGTTGTTTTTTTGTCGTTTTTTTTAAAGAAAATAAAACAGTGTCCTGTCCGTTTCCTTTTTGGGGGCCGCCTCCTATTTTTTTTTTTTTTTTTTTTTTTTTTTTTTTTTTTTTGAAAGAAAAAAAACATGAAAAGCACTGCTAAAATTATTTCTGATATTAAAAAAGAAAAAAAAAAACAATTGTCGGCCGCCATCTTGAAAAAAAGCCCGAATGTCAGGGAAAATGTATGGAGCGGCCATTTTGAAAGAAGAAAAAAAAAAGGGCCTCCTCATTCCCATTTTTCGAAAAAAACAGGACGCTAAACATGTTTTTTTTTAAATCTGGCCTTATATAAAAATTTAAAAAACGATCCAACTGTACCGGTAGTTATTCTTCAAGCCACTGGAACTGCGTAGAGTTCCGTAGTGTGGCGTACCGACTACGCAGAAATTAGGCCACGTATTAATGAGAAAATAGTCCCTGCGTAGGTTATGCGTAGGCTGGCGTACAGGTTTGCTTATGGTTGCTTACTGTGTGGAAAGCTTTTACTGCTTTGTCGATCTGGCGTAGGGTAGCATACTGTTGCGTAGGCATGTAGCGTAGTGTTGCGTATGTAAAAAGGCGTACTTTCTACGTCAAGTTTCTACGCCGAAAGTACGCGAAAAAAATTAAACATGTTGAATTGTTTTCGTTCATCTTGCGTACCCAGTTCCGTCCCTCAGCATATAGTAATGTAGGCCAGCGTAGTTGTTACGCAACACTACGCAACTCTACGTATTGACCCCACTCCAATTAGTGACCCGCAAGTGTCAAAAATAAAGTATTAAAAATATGCTCATCTGACCCTATACGCCTAAAACCCCCGAGCTTTTGGGGGTTTATGGCCCCTTGAAACCCGTGGACCCCACGCCTATATTATATATACACTCAACTCGCTGCGATCTGATCTCTCCCCCCCCCCCCCCCCCCCCCAAACTTTGAAAAACGTAACCCCCGAGCTTTTGGGGGTTTAAGGCCCCTTGAAACCCGTGGACCCCACGCCTATATTATATATACACTCAACTCAGGACCCGCGGAAATCTGCGGGATTATAGAGGGGGTGCGCAGGCAAAAAATTAAGTTTTTTCATTTCGGGGGCTCCATTTCAAATTTTTGGGAAATTTTCTGGGGCTACTTTTTCAACTTTCGGGGGCTCTCTTTTCTGGGGCTACTTTTTCATTAATTCATAAAAGGATAGGCCTACACTTTGTTGAGATTTGTTTAGTAGGCGAAGGTTTCAGGCTTAATACTTCATAGGTCTAATTGCCTATTTAAAAAAACAACATTTTTCTAGTTCAATAACTAAGTTTTCATGCATTGCTTTGATGCAAGAACTGTAACATAGATCTAATTAATAGATCTAGATTGTGATTATTTCTGACCATGAATTTCGATAATCATTTTTCAAAGTAAAATTTTCACAAGAAAATCAGACAGTCGTTTAAAAACGTAGACATTAGTAATACTTTTACTAATTCTAAGCTCAGGTTTCGTAAATCTATTCACGAAACTATATTGAAATCGTGATGCAAACCGACAGATAACAATTTCAAAGTGTCAAATCTCTTCGACTCGAGCTCAGCTCAGCTGATCGAACTCGCACACACTCCAGCGTAACTCCATGAAGCTCGAACACCGACGCCGCAGGCCTCGGAAGCCTGTGGAGCGCGGTGCCGGTGTTACACTGCACTGTGTGTGAGGACTGAAGGCAGCTTGCGACTGCAACCGTCAGTCCAATGGTTTTCTTGTGAAAACTTTCCTTTAGAAAGTGATAATCAAAATTTAGTAGCATGGCCGTAATAATCACAAAATAAGCTTTCATTTCATACCTCCATTCACGACACCTATATAAAAATCGCGGCAATAATGATGGAAATAGGTCCCTAAGTTTGGACGTGGACGGGAAGCTTCGTGTGTATCTCTGTGGCTCGTGCAGCTACTATACAATGGATATCCTATAGAAAGATGCTTTACTCGGGTAAGCCCGACCCTGTGCGTCGTGCATTTAATACGCAACTTAATGTGAGTGGACAGTCATCGGTCGTGTGTCTACGGATGTCATGTTGAATATCCATGAGGTAGCTCTGTCGTCACGCATATCCTGCATTATGCATGTCGCGTCTGTTTTCGCCCTGGACGTCGACACGGAGGAGGACCTCGGGCGGAGTATAGCCAATTCGCTAGAGTAGACTCTCCCGCGGACGACGGCACCGGTCACCGGTACCCCGAGGGCAGGGTTCAGGAGGAGATAGCCGCACCAACTTGGGTCGGCGATCTCATTAAAAAACAATAGAATACAAAGGCCGGCGGAGACGTCGCGCCCCCCGCGGAGCCTTAGCGTATTACTATTATAGATTATAGATTAACGGTAAACCATATTTTTTTCAAGTGGAGCTGAATTAGTATGATTAGATTTAATCTAAATTTCTCACATTTCGGGGTCTAAAATAACCTTCATAGCAATTTTAGGTCCTAAAAAGACACTAGAAATGTCATAAATAAGAATAAGAGCGATAACCATGAACTTTGAAGGCATTTGTAGTCTTAAACAAAAACTCAACTTTCCCTTTAATGATTTAACCTATGACCGCGCGCGCGTATCACAACTATCTGTTTGTATTCGGCGATATGGTTCCACCAAGCCACTTACGTAGTTGGAAGGTTGCCCTGATGACTTGCTCCCCCTCCTCATCATCGACCCTGGCCTCGCACGAGTATATTCCAGAGAAACGATCCTCTACGGCGTCAAAGTGTAAGACTAGTCCAGGAGGTAGGATGCGCACTCCTTCCACAAGGTTTCTCACTGCGAATAACAAGAGAGTAATTAAAAGGATTTTAGGAGTTTTAAAGTCAGATTGGAACCACAAATGTTTAGAAACAACATTTAACACCACAAGGTTCAATGGGCATAATATCAAGGTTCAATTAATTTTCCGGTAATATACTATAAAGTATAAAAGGCATCATGATTTTGTGTCAAACTTTAAAGACAAAGTTGAGTACCTGTCATGAAAATCTAGAAGTTATTTTGGGCGGACAAGGCGGTTAATAATGTTGTAAAAACAAACAATTGTGGGGCATGAATTTTAGAATCATCAAGTTATGACAGATTGACTAAAATCATAAACATTTGAAATCAATGGCCACAGACATGGGTACCTGGGACTATACATTATGTAGCATCAGCCTCTGATCCAAAATTATTGTGACTTATTTCTAGTCATATTCGACGCATGAATACACTTCAAATCCACTGCTTTATAGGGATAAACAAATGAGAAAAGCTCCGAAACGCCTTTCTCACTTTGACAGGAACTTCCAGGCCTTAAAGAAACAAAACAAAACATAAAACTTCTCTAAAACTAACACAAAATGACTGTAAACGTTAATGGGAGTACGTCACATTTTTGGCATATTAGACGAATTTGTCACTGTACATCTTGACTTGATGCTATAACAAAAACGACTTCACACTGTCACTGACTCCAAACCGACCACTTTGGGGCTAATTGGGTTACATTTAATTGCTTTTTTCGTCTGCATTTGGTCTAGCTGGTGTCGGTCTAGTGTGGTGTCGGCATTACCCTCAATATTAGACGAACATGTCGTTGAAAGGACCAAATGTCAGATAACCCGTGTTTGTTGTTACCACCCATCTAATACTGCTTGGAATCAAAACATGTCATTCTGACAAGAAATATTATTTACGTAGAGATCGAGTAACATTTTACCTGGTCTGATGCTATTCCCTATGAACCACTGAACGGACGCATCAAATCTGTTAGGGAAACACTCTAGGTCGACCACGCTACCTGCTGCAACAGTAAAATTGCTAGGAGATCTCACTGTAAAGAACAGTGTCTCACTGAGTTGACTCTCGTTGAACTGTCTCTCTACTTTCAGAGAATATGCAACTGTTACATTCTTAGAACGTAACCAATGAAGATATCTAGAGATGCTTGTGTAGAACCCGTATTCTCCCTCCTTAGCACACCCGACGCCCCAGCTTACAATACCAACTTGATACCACCGTCCATCATCATGACGAAAAGCAAATGGACCCCCACTGTCACCACTGCAGGCATCCTGCAGCGCACTGTGGTAACCAGCACAGAACATGTTGTCAGTAAACTCTCCTTCATCCTCGTCAACACTCTCCTCGCAAGTTTGCCGGTCAACAATAGGTAACTCCACCTCCTTCATAAACTGATTGGTTTGACTTTTGAGAGACTCTTGTCCCCATCCGGTCACACGTCCGTTGATATTGGTCTCCATGATACGACTGGCCAGAACCCCAGGAGCCAGGCAAATAGGACGAATGTAAGGAGTGAACTCCCACAGTGGTGGGTCGATACGTATCAGGGCAATGTCATTATCATAGTTCGTCTTGTCATAATCCTCATGCACAATCATTTCCGCTGGCTGTCGGCTCTTTTCCGACTCTTCTAGTACGTTTGAGTCATAATCTCCGAAAAATAAATTCATATTTTCCTTTGTAATCAAGTTTCCGTGCTTGTCAAACATGCAATGCGCAGCAGTCAAAATCCACCTCTGGTCCAGGAGTGTCGCGCCGCAGGTAAAGGTCCATGGATCCCATTTCTCAGGTTTGTTTTCCCAGATCCGGACCATATAGGGCGCCGAACCACGATTTGCTATATTTCCTCCGGTCACACGGCCTGAGCTTCTGCCTGCTACGTTCATACTTTCGCTGCTCCAGTTGCTTGAATCTTCGTCGATACCGGCGGCCTCGGTGCTAGCAACTATCGCTGGTGAGGGAGTGGTTTGAGCTTTGCTCTCTTTCCAGTACGTAATCGTGCCGCAAACTAGAAATAAAACAACAAAAAGAAAGTATTTATGGTCATTTTAGTAAAAGTAGTGAGCAATGAAGCTCTTTTCAGTATTTCAATACGTGAAATTAGTAGCGGGTTATTAGTAGGAGACCAGCCTGTAGGTCCCGTGACTAATCTCTGGGAACAAAGGTTTGAAAGAGTTTTTGTGTTCCCCGATGAATTCACCAACACAGTTAACGTCGTCCGATTCTAATGATTTTAGTGTCTAATAATATGTTTTTGACATAACAAATTCAACTAAGCAACATTTAAAATAACAAAATGGTTGCCATAACCTTGAAATTTCCTCCAAACCCATAGATAAGAAGTTGTTAAATGTTTGTCACCGAAACGGCAGCCATTTTGAATGTACATGGTCAAGGTAAGCACTTTTACTTTTAAAAGTTGCCTAGTTGAATTTGTTATGTCAGAAAACATATTATTAGACCCTAAAATCATTAGAATCGGACGATGTTAACTGTGTTGGTGAATTTCTAAAGTGCATTGCCCTTTTTGACCATAGCGCCCTCATTTAAGGTCGGAGGTATAGCAAACTATACATTTTTGGACGAGTAATTTGATATGCATATCGACACGATTGGAATATATGTAATTTCCACCCCTGTTTGACCTTTAATGTGTTGACCCCTCACGAAAATGCCTGGGATTTTCAAGGGGGCAGCCCAAGTCAAAATTGTTCGATATTCATCAGGGAACACAAAAACACTTTCAAACCTTTGTTCCCAGAGATTGGTCACGGAACCTACAGGCTGGTCTCCTACTATATTCCCATTGAGTGAAACAAATACACCGATATATTATATTTAGGCCTACATAATATCAGTTTTCCTTAACCATGTATAAGTTAATAATAGTAGAGGCTGGTAGGGAGTAGAAGTAGTAGAAATGGTAGAAGTAGTAGTAGTAGCAGTAGCGGGAGTAGTAGTAGTAGTAGAAGCAGTAAACAGTAGCAGTAGTACTAGTAGTATAGCAGTAGTAGAAGTAGTGGGAGGAGAAAGTAGCAGCAGAAAACGGTTTGGCAGTGGTAGTAGTACTACTAGTAGTAAAGCGACCCATTTCTACTATAATGAATAGCGACCCTATTTTCGTATAATGAATAGCGACCCTCTACTCCTATTATAAATCTCCTATTATGAATAGCAACCCTCATTTTGTATTATGAATAGCGACCCTCTCCTTGTATTATGAATAGCGACCCTCATTTCGTATTATGCATCGCGACCCTCTTCCCGTTTTATGAATAGCGACACCCATTTCGTTTTATTAATAATGACCCTCTACTCCTATTATGAATAGCGACCCTCATTTCGTTGTATGAATAGCGACCATCATTTGGTATGATGAATAGCGATCCCCTTTTCGTTTTATGAATAGCGAACCTCATCTCATATTATAAATACCGACCCTCTCCTTGTATTATGAATAGTGACCCTCTATTGAATGTTGAAAAAGCATCAAAGGGTAAAAAGCTTCCAGATGGTATTACATTTCTTAATGTTGGCGGCTATGATGTTGCGCAAAGTGAAGATGTTCAGTTCTTAGGGTTAACTATGGATGAGCATTTATCTTGAACTATCATTTAGATGCTGGACTAAGTTGTCCCGAAGTGTAGGTGTCATTTTTAGATTAAAATTCATTTTACCTGAAAGAGTGCTGATAACATTATATAATTATTCTTCCCTATTTGACATATTGTAATGTTGCTCGGGGAAACCCTTGTAAGCCATATCTTGATTAGTTCAGAGTATTGCAGAAGAAGGCAATAAGGCTTATTACTAATACTAATTATAGACATCCAAGTTCTCCATTGTTCATTCGACTTAGAATAGGGACTTTTAGATTCGCACGAAGACAATGCGGATTGCTATGATCAACGTCCTTTTAATGCACTGTCTTGAATGGACGTCACACGTTTCAGTCCACGCAAATCTAAAAGTCCCTAATATTACCACTAGGTGGACTCGTGTCATTCAATTGCATATTGTTTATGTTTAAACTCAGTCTATGCTTCATGAATGTACGTTAAAAGATTTATTCCGTCAAAACTAACAAATTCATGATTATGATACACGCCAAAGGGGTCTTATTCTTCAGCCTTTTGCAAGAACAAATATCACTCTGGGCCCGTATTCAATAAACTTCTTAAGCTTGAAATCTAAGTACTTTTTCTTAAATTTTGGCTAAGAAAAAATCTTAGCCAAAAATCGTATTCTATAACAGCAATGGGGACTTAAGAAATTTGCCTTAAGATTAAGAAGGATTCTTAGATTTTATCTAAGAAAAAGGACTTAAGTAGCATGTCGTATTCTAATACAATCGAGATATCTAAGATAAGTAAGAAATCTACCCTATATTTAAGCATACTACGAGGATGCTTAAATGGGGCTTTGGCACCGGCAGCTCAACCGCTTCGGGTTTCGATCAAATGGAATAAAAACAATGCATGCAGCGCGAGCGCAGGTTATCAGTTGACCTATATAACAACGTAAGCTTCGCGCGCGTAATACAGCGTCGACGGCGCAGCGCGCAGGAGCGCCATAGGCTCTGTGTACTTGTACTTATGTATGTTTGTTTGTACGAGTATAGTAGTGGCACATGCATAACACTAAATCATGACATGGCTGTCGTATATAAAGAAACCGTCTCTTACTTTATTAGTCTTTGGCGCTAAAGTATGGAAACAGGGAATAATGTGCAATCGGCATAATATTAGGTGAGACAAAATTTGTTATAGTATGAGTCTGATAAAGGTTACATCTAGCCATTTGATTAATTTTAGGCCATATCATAACAGTAGACGATGTAAAACAATTGAAAGGGTAGATCTAGCTCCAAATCCAATGCTAGCGCTGGTCGGCCGGCTAGCGACGGCGCTCCCTTCATACTCACAGACCCTGCGGTGCTGCGACATAAGTAAGCCCGGTTGGGCTCCTCGGAGTTGTTTGACAGAAAAGTATAAAAAGCCTACAGTGGATGTTAGATCTAGCCTCAGGTGGTCTTGACTAGACTGTTTTAGTGTCAGTTGGTCAATCCCGAAATAATTATGTGAGCATCGTTCCTCCCTTACGCTCTCCCATACATGTTAGTGTATAATTTTCGTGCGGTGCGATTTTTATTTTAACACGCAAATTACATAGGCAAATCGAGTTGCAATTAATTCGCTCGAGTCGACCACATCAACTTTCCAACATGACGTCATCGGGTCTAAGAATTTGTCTTATCTTTCGTCTTAGCTAAGACAAACTGCTTTACGTGTTTAGAATACGGCTAAGGCAACTTTCTTAACCTAGACAAATTCTTAGACATTTTCTTAGACTTAAGAAAAATGTCTTAGAAGTTTATTGAATACGGGCCCTGACCTCTGTCCATATCTCTTGCATCAAAGAATGGAACAGCTTGCCTGATGATATAAAAAAAAAATAGTAAATTTCTTTATAGGCTTAGAAGGTTATCTAAAACGTACCTACTTGGAAGACTGACATAATCTTAATAATTTCTCAGTCTCAAATGCTCATAGACCACTAAGGATCGACCTACTCATTAGTGTGTTTGTTGTGTGTGTGGGCGTGTGTGTGTGTGCGCGCGCACGTGTGTGTGGGTATTTGTGTGCTCTATATTCTGTAGCTTACTTGAGTTTTTTTCCATCACTTGTATATACATGTAGTGTATGTATTTTGTTGACTATGGGGCCCCGCTCACAAGCTTAGCGTCTACAGGGTCCTAACACCATTCATTTTATGATATAATCAAGTTAATATATGTTGATTAATGTACTTTTACCAGTCTCTTTTTAATGTAAAAGATTATCATGTTTTGTGTGGTTTTGAATAAAATGAACTTGAACTCTTCGTTTTATGAATAGCGACCCTATCCTCGTATTCTGAATAAAAAACCCTCATTTCGTGTTATGAATAGCGGCCCTTATGAGTAGTGACCCCTAATATAAATTATGAATAGCGACCCTTTTCTCGTTTTATGAATAGCTACCTCGATTTCGTATTGTGAATAGCGGTCCTTATGAATAGCGAATAGACCCTATTCTTACAGGGAAAGTCCACCCTGATGATAAGTTGATTTTAATGAAAGCAGAACATTTTTCGGTAATTGGCCTGGAGGGGGGGGGTGGTATTGTCCACGGCCGGTAACTCTTCTAGTGGGTATTTTCCGAGGGTAATTGTCCTCGGGGTGATTTCCGAAGGTTAATTATCCAGGGGTGTCGCAGCCGATAACTACTACGACGATGGCGACTGTCGACATGTATCAGAGGATTTGATCCTAAGCCCTACCTGTAGAAATGTCAATCTGAGGTGGATCAGTCAAATAAAGCCAGGCATGTACTCGACCCTTGGTTCGCCCGAACTGGTCACGAGCAACGCAAGTGTACTGCCCTTCATTTCCCTCCCTTATATCTATCAGATAGAGGTTTCCTCGACGCTGCAAGATAGAAGAATAAAATAAATAGAAGCACTTGAATCTATGGAAATACATCTTGGCCCGAATTCACAAAGGTGGTTTGTCGACAAACCTCCTTTTGTTCTTAACAAACCAGGTTTGTAAAATACGCGTAAAAACGCGTCATATGACGTACGAAAACCAAGGTTTGTCGACAAACCTCCTTTGTGAATTTGGGCCTATATGTACAGGCCTAACTGAATTCATGAGAGGAAGAGGGGCCCAAATTCATTTAAAACATTTTATATATATATACATATTTATATACAAAATATTTCAAGATAAGTTTAAAAAAAAAAGAAGAATGTATTCACATCCACGGAATAAGTGATGCAAGGAAATATATTGTTTAATTCATGAATATGAATTATTTTTGGTCGTACACGTAATACACGTATTTTTTTTTTTCTTGACCGAAAAATTGTGACGGGCTTAAAACAAGTTTTCAACACAGACCTCGTTTCAAGCCAGCAGGTCCAAGCCCCTAGGCCTACATTCAATACCCTGAACTGCATTGTAAACATTTACAACAACTAGTCTAGACTCTCGCAGTCTGTGTTAATATGTTGCGAATTTGGAGTTTTATGGAGTTTTATGACAAAAGTTACTGAACTTTGTTCATTTTCCTTGTTTCCTGTTCTACAGGAGCACAATCGCACATGTATTCTATGACCCTTTTTACGGTATATAAAATATATAATGACTGCTTTAATATTCGAGTAATAGTCGTTTTATAGGCACTCGGGAACGTTGCATCTTGCTATATCAGGATGTGACATCCCCTTGAGCCTATAAAACAACTGTTCCTCTAATTATAGCAGTCATTATATCTATACTATTGAATGCATGAAACCCCAGTCTGCAACTGTCATTAATTTAGAAAATTAGCAACTCACGATGAAAACGTCTCCTTGTTCCAGCGGTCGCCCATCCTTCTCCCAGATGACACTCCATGCGATTTCTATGGGAGAGCACTGGAACTGATGATCGTCACCAAAATTGACATACGCATTCTCGGGAACGAATTCGAAGTAGCTCCGGGGGTTGAAAGCTGTCAGCAATGTACATGAAAGCAAAGAATGGCATGAAACGAAGGAACAGCGGCGTATCTAGACATTGGCGTCGGGGAGGGGGGGGGGGAGGATTCGGAAAGGTTCCAAAAACAAAGATGGTCCATTTTGATTTGTAAAATGTTATGTACTAATGTCCTTTGGCAAGATATTAATCATGGGTGTCGATACTTACGTAATACCTATTCATCAGGGGGATGAATGAATAGATCATCCCCCTGATGAATAGGTATCAGTTACGGATCGACACCCATGATATTAATCTACATTTGCCACTCTCCACCCAGGTGTTAAATGGAATAATTCGCGATTTCGTCTTTTGACGACGTCGTGAATTTTATCGCCAATTATTTCTCGACGAGATTGACGAGATCGACGATATCGTACCAGTAGGAAGGAATTCCTTGAATGTTGTGAGCGCCGAATTCGGCTGCCTATAGCAGAGCCAGGGTAGTAGTTGGAGCGACTCGAGCACCATGCATGGTGGATATGTGCGATATATAAATATCCAATATAATTATTATTATCATATGACAGTAAATGTGATCATTCTTTTTTTTTCTTTCCTAATTTTGATGTGTTTCTGGGGTGGCTCTCCCTTTGCCACTTCAAATGCGCTTGTGTGAAGGAGGTAGAAAAGAGACAATTCATTCAATTCACCTCTTTTTGTATGAACAATAAACTTTACTTTTAGTATCGATAAACCAACTTAATACTTTATCATTCTAAGGCAATCATTCTATCATATCGATATTTGAGAACAAGGGACTTACTTATATTGGCCTCAGATCTTATGCATTCCCTGTCCCCGGAGAATACAACGCATGAGTAGAGTCCTGCGTGTCGTGCATTGAAGCTTGGAATGATTAGTTGGTTGTATTGGTCGACGAAGATACCATTCACAGCACCTTAGGGCGGATTTGATAGAAACTAACCACGTTATGCTTTTTGGGGGGGTTGAAATTTCTTGAAAATGTATCACTATGTTACATCTTTACCAGATTGGCAAGAAAGCAAAATAAACACATAACACCTAGTGACGCCGCCAAATCGACTCCATAATAATATTTAACTTTTATATAGCGCTTAATACAAATGTCTCTAAGCGCTTTACAAAATATACTATTACCCTGGTCTTTGGTTTCAGTGCTTTCCCGCACACACTGTGTGCAAAATCTCCACTCCAGAATTATCTGGGACTATTATTGTTACAATTTGTCTTGCCCTTATTTAATTTTTCTCGGGCTTTCAGTGGTGTGCTTCTCTCTGTCTCTCTTGTGGGGGTGTTTTTCCTCTTCGTTCTAAAGTACTCGAACTTACGAAACAGTGCTTGCAATAATATGTTCGTTCGATTTATAACCTATCTAGTTAATTTCATTGAAATTATGCAATGCAAAATGTTACTATTCACTGATTCAATTCATAATTTTACTATTATTTTTTGTTCTGTTCATTTCGTCGGCTTCCCACAAGAAGGCCGTACGTTTCATGGAAAATACAGGGACTTAAAAATAAAGTTGAACTCTGGTCATGCGATTGCATTGTGAAAGAAAAGGTGTGCAATAGATCAGAAAAAGTTGATCATGTAGCATGTAAGTATTGGTGTATACTGCAAGGTTCTGGAGTCATCAAAATCATAATACATTTGGCCCAGTCTTAGTTAAGTAACAAGCACTTTATACAGAAAGATGTATATGGGATTACTCAAATAGTGTTGGGGCTATTTATACCTTGATTTCCTTATCTTTTTATGCTCATTACTCAGCCAGTATACATTTTCTACCAAAATTGTTTGGCAAATGATTTGTAATCTTGAACATTTAGTGTAAGTTTCGTTTGATTCTGTGAGAATTATTATTTTACCAGAACTCAAGTTTATCTTTAAAGATATAGTCGTTCGTGAAGTAGGCAACTGGGCGTTCACTTCATAACACTACACTCCGATCCGTGCGTACGTCCGTGTGCTGCCCTCTATTATATACCCATGCAATTGCATTGTGAAAGAAACGTTGCGGACTCGATCACAAAAGGTCGGTCGTCAAGCATATAAGTATCATAAGAATCATCAAAATGATAAGAAATTAGGCCCAGTTTTGTTAAATTTACAAGCACTGTACACATAAAGATGTATATGGGACTACGCGACACGTGCGCGATATCTATCCGGTCCGGATAGATATCATAATTTACCAATTATATCAATTAGTAAGCGGTTTCCCGGCAAAATTTGTATCATGACGTATTAGTCAAAAAATATAATTTCACCTGATTGGTAATAAGAGCTTCCATGTCATTTTTTGAGAGGGGGCGTTTTCAAAACTGGTCTATACCTTTAAGGCCTTCTTGAGGATAACCAACGATTTACTTTTTATTTGCTATCATTAAATGTAGTCTCTGGAATACCGTCTTGTACCATGTTACTTTTTTAAAATCGGTTTTGGATGATGTCCCCACCTGAATCCAACGTTTGCCTGTCTTTGAACCATGTCAAGGTCGCATCTTGGTCGCTGACCCGGCACTTTGGCTCTAATAGATCTCCTTCAGCTGCTTCTAAATTATGAGGTTCTTCAAGGAAAGCCAGGTCGGGATTACAAGATGAAGGGGCTCGAGTCCCAGAATCTGCAGATGATAAATTATCAATAGATTAAGTACGTGAGTTGATAAACAAAATTAAAATCATCACAATCATGCAAATATGATTCCGTTTTTAGCCATTAACACTTTTTCCTTTAGCCAAATCTTTAGAAATTGAAGGCATTCGCTAATTTTTTAATGTCAATGTTTCATTCAAGATATGACATCAAAAGATGTCTCATAACAGCGAAACGATGAAAGAGAAACCAGACGAGGCATCAATGTAATTCTCTTTGTTTGGTTTGGTTTGCCAGAAGTTCACGTTGTCACTGCATGCAACTCGGCACGTATATCTTTGAAATTGAGGTCGCTATCTATGACTAGGAATTGAAAAACTAACCCTGCTCACAGCGTATAGGAGTCCCAATCCATTCACCATGCTCGTCACACACTCTGCTGTCATTTCCTTCAATCTTCATGTATCCTGCCATGCAAGAATATGTGCACATCTTGCCGGTGTTGTAAGGAGGAGAGCACGGCCCGGGGAGAGCGTGCGGTGGTGTTTCGAGTCGACGACACTGTATGACTGACGAGAAAATTATGAAATCAAAATGAAATTATAAAATGAAAAATAATTAGGTTGGTGTCTGAACTATTATATGGCCATTATTCTTGGGACAATTACCTTTGGGTTGTTATTCTAGAAGCCCTCTTCCTGGAAATGTAGCCCTTACTAAAAACAATGATTCTCAAACAACTAATCCAATTAGGGTCAACTACCCCGAGGACATTTACCTTCAGACCGCTTTCATACATGGAAACTATCAATAGGACAGTTACCTTCAGACGGCTAACGTATGAAAACTACCCCTAGGACAATAACATTCAGTCGGCCATCATACACGGAAACTACCCTTAGGACAATTACCTTCAGACGGCTAACATACATGGAAACTACCTCTAGGACAATTACCTTCAGATTGCTTTCATGGATGAAAAATACCCCTAGGACAGTTTTTTATAGCCATTAACATTTTTTCCTTCAACCAAATATTTAGAAATTCAAGGCATTGCGCTATTATTTAATGTCAATGTTTCATTCAAGATATATGACATTAAAAGATGTCTCATAACAGCGAAGCGATGAAAGAGAAACCAGGCAAGTCGTTAATGCAATTCTCCTTGTTTGGTTTGGTTTGCCAGAAGTTCACATTGTCACTGCATGCAACTCGGCACGTATATCTTTGAAATTGAGGTCGCTATCTATGACTAGGAATTGAAAAACTAACCCTGCTCACAGCGTATAGGAGTCCCAATCCATTCACCATGCTCGTCACACACTCTGCTGTCATTTCCTTCAATCTTCATGTATCCTGCCATGCAAGAATATGTGCACATCTTGCCGGTGTTGTAAGGAGGAGAGCACGGTCCGGGGAGAGCGTGAGGTGGTGTTTCGAGTCGACGACACTGTATGACTGACGAGAAAATGATGAAATCAATATGAAATTATAAAATGAAAAATATTTAAGGTTGGGGTCTGAACTATTATATGGCCATTATTCTTGGGACCAGTACCTAGTGGGTTGTTATTCTCGAAGCCCTCTTCCTGGAAATTTAGCCCTGACTAAGAACAATGATTCTCAAACAACTAATCCAAGGGTCAACTACCCCGAGGACAATTACCTTCAGACCGCTTTCATATATGGAAACTATCAATAGGACAGTTACCTTCAGACGGCTATCATACATGAAAACTACCCTTAGGACAATAACCTTCAGACGGCTATCATACATGGAAACTACCTCTAGGACAATTACCTTCAGATCGCTTTCATGCATGAAAAATATCCCTAGGACAGTTACCTTCAGACAGCTATCATACATGAAAACTACCCTTAGGACAATAACCTTCAGACGGCTATCATACATGGAAACTACCTCTAGGACAATTACCTTCAGATCGCTTTCATGCATGAAAAATACCCCTAGGACAGTTACATGTACCTTCAGACAGCTATCATCCATGAAAATTACCCCTAGGACAGTTACATGTACCTTTAGACAGCTATCATACATGAAACTACACCTAGGACAATTACATTCAGATGGCTATTATACATGGAAACTACCCATAGGACAACTACATTTAGACGGCTATCATACATGGAAACTACCCCTAGGAAAATTACATTCAGATATGGCTATCATACATGAAACAACACCTAGGACAATTACATTCGGATGGCTATCATACATGGAAACTCCCCCTATACATGGAAACTACCCCTAGGACAATTACCGTCAGATGGCTATTATACATGAAACTACCGCTAGGACAATTACCGTCAGGCGGCTATCATACATGAAACCACCCCTAGGACAATTACCGTCAGACGGTTATCATAAATGGAAACTACCCCTAGGACAATTACCTTCAGACAGCTATCATACATGGAAACTATCCCTAGGACAATTACCTTCAGACGGCTATCATACTTGGAAACTACCCCTATACATGGAAACTACCCCTAGGACAATTAACGTCAGACGGTTATCATACATGAAACAACACCTAGGACAATTACCTTCAGACGGCTATCATACTTGGAAACTACCCCTATACATGGAAACTACCCCTAGGACAATTAACGTCAGACGGCTATCATTCAAGGAAACTACCCCTAGGATAATTACCGTCAGACGGCTATCATTCATGGAAACTACCCCTAGGACAATTACCTTCAGACGGCTATCATACATGGAAACTACCGCTGGGACAATTACCGTCAGACGGCTATCATACATGAAACTACCCCTAGGACAATTACCGTCAGACGGTTATCATACATGAAAACTACCCCTAGGACAATTACCTTCAGACGGCTATCATACATGGAAACTATCCCTAGGACAATTACCTTCAGACGGCTATCATGCATGGAAACTACCCCTAGGACAATTACCGTCAGACGATTATCATACTTGGAAACTACCCCTATACATGGAAACTACCCCTAGGACACTTATCGTCAGACGGCTATCATTCATGGAAAATACCCCTAGGAAAATTATTTTCAGACGGCTATCATACATGGAAACTACCCCTTGGACAATTTCCTTCAAACCGCTTTCAAATTATCGCAATTTATAATTTACAGATTTTAGCAATCCACGACCCGAGGATATGTCATTCACTAGGACTCTTATTTCTCATAATTTTTCTTTGTGCGCTTCGTAATAGAATTTCTGGGTAGATTGAGGAATAAAAATGTCTAAAAGGAGTATTATTATATTTATCATAATAATAAATAGTATTAGTAGTAGTAGTAGTAGTAGTAGTAGTTGTTGTTGTTGTTGTTGTTGTAGTAGTAGTAGTAGTTGTTGTTGTTGTTGTTGTTGTAGTAGTAGTAGTAGTTGTTGTAGAAGTAGTAGTATTAATAGTAGTAGTAGTAGTAGTAGTAGTAGTAGTAGTTGTTGTTGTTGTATTAAAGCTCAATGACAAAGAACTGCACTGAATCCCTGGAAGTATAAATCATGTTTTTGATGCTTAAATTAAAAAGTAGCAATCAATCTAATAAATTCTAAATACTACATTATCACTGGTTTTCTAGGTAAGTTCATTAAGACTAACAGTTTACAAAATAGTTCAATAATTACCACTCTCTCCACAGTACTTTCCAATGAAGCCCTCTTGACAACTGTAATAAATAGAATACATGGAGAAATACAAAATACATTAATTATGGTAATATGTATTTGATTTCTCTTAGGTCAAGTGAACTAAAGAAAAATGAGGGAGAGCGGGAGGGAGAGAGAGATAGGGAGAGAGGGGGCGGAGAGAGAGATAGGGGAGGGAGAGAAATGGGGGAGAGGGGAGGGAGAGAGGAATGGAGAGAGAGAGAGAGGAGGGAGGAAACAGAATAAAGAGAACAGCGGAAGAACAGAAAAGAAATAGAAGAGATAGAAAATAAAGAAAAGAGAGAGATAGAGAGAGTGCAAAGACAGCATAGTGAGCAAGAGAAACTGACAGATGTCAGGACAGATAGTACAGTTATAGGATGATCAAATTTGTAAAATGAGAAATCATGAAATTAGATAAGATGGCATAGAATTATATTTATAAAGAGGGCAAAAGAGTGAGTAATATAGACTTATATGGTAAATGTAGGTCGAAAGATGAGAGAATGGTTGGTGCATGCATGACGTAGACATCATCCCAAGTGCTGTCAGAATGAGAGCATATCAAGGACATTACTCACATATCCCTGCTCATACATTGTTACATAGAGTTGTGGTTGACCTAGATATGAATGCTGACCGAAGACTCAATCCTTTCACTTAAACACTTTTTTGTGATGCAATATGAAATATTGGTGGCTGTAAACATGTTTGCGGTTGTGTATGGTACATGCATGTGAATTTCCCCTATCTCAAGAGGGAAAATGATGTCATTTTAAGAGAGGCAGATTTGTGTTGTAATCTATGCCAAAGAATTCTTCCTTAGTTTACTTTCCTCCCTCATACTAAGTTTTCTTCACCATTTTCAGTATTATGTTCGAACTATAGACTAAACACAATTACCATCTATATTTTAGTTTGTTTGATAGTAAGATAAAGATTTGCTTTAAACATCATCACATAGACCACATAATTAGTTCTGAAGTACCTACTGTAAATCACTGATACAAAATTGTGAATTCCAATATTAAAAGATACCACAAGAATGCCTAAAACACAAAGTGTTCAAAGCAGGATTTTCCACTACTGGTTCATAAACATCCATTGAAACGAATAGCAAATAGCAAATTGGTTAAATATCTTGTAAGCAAATTATTTTTCGTGACCACATGAAGACACTGATGAATAAAAGTGCCCTAAGTAGCAGTATTTGTAACACAAATAGGTATATATATAATTCATCTGCAAGCAAGTGTTTAGAAATATAATCATCATTCAATCCCTAAAGCTTAGGCTCCATTACCATGCTACCGATCTAAGCTTTATGAACGCGGCACAGACTGTAATAGATAATGGTCACTGATGCACATGAGCACCCTTATGGTTGATCATGCTCTGCTCTACACTGTTCTGTCAAAACAGATGTCTCAAGGAAAGTACGCATGAGATCAAGAAGTTCTCCTATCAATGTCACCATCTTTTGTCCTTTGGATGTGCAAGCAGGTGTTTTATAACAAAGCAATATCTTTGAAAAAAAGATGCCATGACAACTGTTCACAATCATCTATGTTCTTTCTTGATCACAATCTTAACACATTAATTTAGTTTCTGCTTAGGCGAAGCGTCAAAAATAAATATACCAGCCAGCGGCAGCTAACTGCACTTGTGCGTCCTGGCTGCATTTTTTAAATTAGCTCAGCCGGCTACCGCTGGCGGTAGGAAGTGGCATTCAAAAGCATGCGCCGGCTGCCGCCTTTCGAATGGAAACCGAGCCTTAGATCCCAGCCTGGCGCAAGCCGACTGGGCTCATAAGTGAAAAATAATTGCCCCAGCCAGGCTTCGGCCGTAATTGCAGCCTCGATGCGCCAATACGTGAGGCGGCAGCCTGCTGGTATCGATATTTTTGACGCCTCGCCTTACCTGCAGCTGCCATCGACCGAAGAACAGCGTCCGTCGTTCTGGCACTGGCACTGCAGATTGCAGTTGACTCCATAGGTTCCTGACAGGCACTGCAGTTCACATTGGTCTCCTTGGAATCCCACAGGGCATTGACACGTGCCATTGACAGGGTTACAGGAGGCACCATGGAAGCATGCACAACGGCTCAAGCATTCCCGGCCATACCGGCCCCAGCGACAAGGCACAGCACACACCCCGCCCTACAGAGCAAACAGTTACAATTAATGTACACAGTCAGGAGATGAATGAATGTGTTACTATAAAATGGAGTATAGCTGTAACTCTATCTAAGTTGGAAATTAATCAACTACAGTACATTTGGCATCATAATTAAATACGACAGTCAGAAATTCAATAAATCACAGAATACATGTTAATATGGAGCATAACTCTCCCTCTCAGAAAAGATTTATCTATATTACAGTATCAAAAAATATATTTATCACGATTCACGACGGAAAAACAAGTTTGAAATTCATCTGTTATATATTCAAGTGATACAGGCTCTGTAATACAATTTTTGAACTTGCTGTTTGTTATGAATCCTTTTTACTTATTCTAACAGTTAAGCAGAGTTGGTGATCAAAGCTCTTGTTTTGATCAATTTAATTTCAGGCAATGCCAGAATCTACCCATGTACAGAGATTTTGTACATGTACAAATATGTAATGTGTTGCTTTCAACAGTTCAAGTCCACTATTTTTATCAATCTGAGTAATGGAATTAACTAAATTAAAGACAAATCAGAACAAACAAATTTACAAAATCAGTCTTCAACATTATTGTGTAGGTCCCAAATCATTCATTTTGTTATCCAGTTCTGAAGAAGAAGAAAAATCTTCTTTCCATTCAAATGTTACACAATTAATTGGATACTTCACAGAAAGGGTATCTCTGGCAAGGGACATACCGTGTACACAGACATTAAACATTGGTATATATACTTTTCTTTCCCATGAAACTTCCTTAGATTATACTGCTACATTTCTTCATACCTTCCATCCTGGTTTACATGTACATTTGCCTGTAGCTGGGTTGCAGACACCATTGTTCTGACATTGACATTGGCTGGCACAGTTTGGTCCATATGTACCCTCGGGACAATAATCATGGCACCTGCATCAGTATAAAATGTTCATATGCAAATCATTACGAGTGACATTTAGCCTGTTTAAGCTGCAGAATTACACTATATACAAAGAAACGTACATGTCTGGCTTCTGAAATATTCCAATAAATGAATCTCTCGGTAAATGCCAAGCCAAGACTGCAATGGATCTTTTATATTTCTCAATTCAGATTCTATGATAATTGTACAATGAAGTGTACAAGTCTAGCCCTTCATCTAAGAATAGTATCAGGCAAAATATGCAAACTTAATGGTACTTTTTGTTCCATAATTGACACTTAAATTCCTTGCATATTGGTGTTTTAAAAGTTACCACAATTTTGTATACCAATTTTAAACAAGGAAAGGAAACGAGGACAGTGGGAGAGCCTGTCATTATTATATAGTCTAATAGATATTTACTTAGGTAAAAAGATAGGTAAAAGATTTCCATGTTTAAAATACTAATCATGTTTGATCTTAAAGATACACGTTATTGTATTTTCACACTTCACATTTCAATTTCAATTACATTCAATGTTTAGGCCTAAATAAGGATAATACTTCAAGTACTTGTTTGATACCATCATAAGATTAATAATTAGTACATCTGTTACATCTATTGGTCAGCATGTTACAAAAAATTAAGGTTAAATGTTGGTGACTCAAATGTAACCACAAAAATAATTTTACAATTCAGCTCTTTTTTTAAATGGACAGAATGAAATTGCGCAAGATAGTAACAAATCCTGGGGATAGCGATCACCAGGCAAGACAGGAAATAGACACGGAAATGAAAGTTGTTTATATGCATAGCCTCATATAAACAGTTGAAAGTTTAAACTAAAACACACATATTATTTGTGTAATCAATATCATTTTTAATTGATAAGAGGACTCATAGAATATCTGTCTGGTATTAAAGAGCTAAAAGGGTGTTCGGTCTGTACTAAATGACAGGAGTTATCGCCCTTCTAGCTCTGAACAGATGATAAATCTAAGCAAAATGTAAAATGTTTAGAATACATAGTCGGTGTCTTTGCCTACCCCCAAATTTTCGTTTAAACAACAATGATCTTGTCGAGTAAATTTTCTAGGCAAACGATAAACTGTTATTATTATTTTATTGGAAAGGAAAGTCTCATATCCTACTGATTGATCACTTGGTCTAAATGATTCAAGAGCATATCTCAGGTCAGATTTCATGTAACAATGGAGGAAATTTTACTAAACTTAATAATGTGAAAGTAAAAATATAAGAGAGAAAAAGTAAGAGTTTGCTCTTAGGATAGGAAGGAAGTTTCGGAAGGTGGATGCCACAAGTAGAGAAACTTTCACCACTTAAACATTTCCTGAACTACATGTTAGATTTAGTAAAGTATATAAAGTTTGGCATTGAAACAAAGGAAATCACAAGAACGAACTTTGTCTTTTTTTGTGATTTTCCCTACCAAGAGCAAAATAATTATTCTGTTTTATTTACTAATGTAAAGCGCTTTGAGCATATTTATGTAAAAGCGCTATATAAATATCAATATGTATGTATGAAATGATAGTGATAGCGATGGTCTTGATGAAGTCAATTACTGCAGATCATATTAATGTATTTCTTAAATGGATGATCGTTTTGTCATTCCTGTGTAATATGTCCCAGGCAACATAAATCTACAAGTACGAATATAGTGTCCATTAATCATTGTCATTTAAAACAACGAACACAAGATTTAACCATTACGGCCATACAATAAGGTTTCACCATTACTTTTTACAAAAGGCAAAATGTGTGGAGGTGCCCCATAATTATGAAGCACATGGATTAAGGTAATACTGATACTTTAAACAATTGTTTCAAGAATCAGTAAAAATGCTTTAGTATGTTTTGATTGATATCTTCATGTAGTAAAGCCTACTATTGAAGGCCCCATATTAAATATACATGTATACATTTGTTAAACCGTGTGCATAAAGTTATGATAAGGCGCTCAATCTTGTCTTGCATAGCTTTAATTTGAAAGGATCCTCAGCAGAAGGTAGACCGATTTAATACATAATTCATTCCCTCCGACTGTCTATAGTCATTGCAGAGTTTCCGAACAAATGGGAGAAACAGGCTGGGAGGAATGAAAACTTCAGACTCAATCGGCTTCTCTACCCCTTCCACACTACATATTAGAGCGAAATGCCATACAGACAGCCGCCAGTTTAGAGATAAAGATGTTCTGCCTCAAAATAATTCATGTTGATTTGGAATTTAGGTGTATGAGCTAGGCTTGAGGAACAGGTGACAAGATGATGTGTGAACTGAGCTGAAATGTGGAAGTGTCATATTGCTCTAAATGTCTGTAATTGCCATGATAACAGACAACCATACAAATAATAAAACAATCTGCACATCAATTGAGGATTACGTTTTTGTCAATAATCAATCTGTGAAGTTAAACCCTACCTGTAGATGATAATTATAAAGCTACATTAAATGCAGCACAAAGGCATGAACAAAACTGCTCCAAAATCTAAGTAGGGCATAGCTCTTAATAGACATAATACAGAGTGAGTCAGAAAACATGTCCCACTTTTTAAAAGTTGTATTATTTGAAGTATGAATGTTTTATCATGGGTTTCATGATTATGTCTTGATAGAGTTATCCTCCCAGTACATTTAGGTATCATTTTCATTGAATCTTTGCATGCATGACTGAACATCAGACAATCTTTACAAGACTGCCAGATCTCATTTGCGCCAAGTTGCTAGGTGAGGAATAAAAAAGTGTTTTAAACAAAGACAGCCAGACAGACAAAAACACACGCACACGCACACGCATACATACACAGATACAGGCACACGCACACAAATGAGCGTTCCATTCCCGACAAGGCCCACCCAAACTGTTACTTTTTGTCGGGAATTCTTCTTCTCGTACGAAAAGTTGAGTGGCCGTTGTCCTCTTGGTGCGTATTAGGGACTTTTAGAATTGCACGTTGACAGCCTTGACTGCAACGTGTGACGTCATTTTAAGGCACTGCGCATGCGTCACATCGTCTCAGTCGGCGATCGAAAATGCGTCAACCTTGATTTTCCTAAATATAGTACGGTACTAGTATATGCCGCGTGCGCATAAAATATACAGTTCCTCAGGTAGACAAAGGAACATCCCTTCCCTGCTATTATGTAAAAATGTGTAAAACAGGTGTCACATGCATGTTCACCTGTTCTACACATTTTTACATAATATCAGTGAAGGGATGTTCTACCACGTAGCAATAGGCCATTTTCGTAATGTAACCAAAATTAATGCACAGGTCTTTGTGAAGTGCCTCAATACAAACTATTTCATTCACCCGATAGGAATAATAGTATTTCAATAGATAGAATCCTAACTGCATACATTATAGTTGTTGCCAGCTAGGTTGGCCAAACATTATGGCTTGACCTACCTAGCAACACTTAATATATGCAGTTGCATTCTGACTATTGAAATACTATTATTCCTATCAGGTGAATTAAATAATTTGTATTGAGGCACTTCACAAAGACCTATGCATTAAATTTGGTTACATTACGAAAATGGCCTATTGTTGAGAGTAGAATGAGGAACTGTATATTTTGTCCTCTTTCTTTGTCTGTCATGTTCATATAGTGTTACTTCCTACATGCATGTATATCGTTGAGTGCAATCTAAAAGATTTCTTATTGTAGTCAACAGTCATGGGCAGTTGAGTACGTTGACACGCATGGTCAGTTGGCGTTCGTCGTGTTCTCGTCCACTCATTCTAAAGTCCCTATTAGCGGATGTTGTGCTTCATGATGATGATGATGATGATGAAGATTATGATGTTGACAATGATGATTATGATGTCATGATGGTGGTAGTAAATGTGTACTAAAGGGAACCTTGTCAGGATTATGCCACTTAGGGTGCGTTCAAGCGATTTTTTTGAAGCTAGAATCACAAACATGAATCACAAATCAAAACGCCGTTACAAAACACGGTTACTGCGGGATAACGTTCAAGCTATTTTTCATCAACACTGATTCTAGCTCATTTCGAGCCCAGCCACTGCGCATCACACTTCGCAGTGTGACCAAGGAAGTATAGGTCGAATTCGGCGCGCCTTCTGGAATTGTTTATGGCCGACTGTCGGTTGCTGTTTTGAGCATAGATCGCAATAATGAAACAAAGAATAACATAAGAGAAGGTGATACAAGGAAGAAACAAAAAATAACATAAGGAAAGACAGAAAGAGAAAACGATAAAGAATTTATAATGGAAAGATAAAAGAGACGAAGAAAAATGGAAAAACGAAGAATAGCATAATAAAAACAGAAGGAGAAAATGATAGAACGAAAACAAGGAATAACATAACGGAACAGGCATGTGTACGCACATTGCATGAAAAGCAGGCGCGTGGTTTTTACCCAAACCGGAACGGGCTACGATAATGACGCCATAGAATCATGATTGAGATCTCCGTTCGTTCAATCGAACTTTAGCGACAGTGATTCTGCAGAATAATGATACACTGAAAACGCATCTTTTTCAGCGTTTCATGTTTGTGTTTTTAAACACGTTTATTTTTGCGACCGACGAAAGAATCGCTCGAACACAACGTGTTTTAAAGGTAAAGACCAGTATTAGAAACGCCCCAATTTCAAAAAATGAAATGGAAGCTCTCATTACCAATCATGTGAAAGAATATGTTTTGACTAATACATGATGATAAAAAAAAATTGCCGGGAAACCGCCTGGTCTGTGAGAGATATAGAGTAGTCCCATATACATCTTTCTGTGTATAGTGCTTGTAACTTTACGAAGAATGGGCCAAATTTCTTATCATTTTGACGATTCCAGAACTTTGCAGATGCTAGATGCTAGATGATCAACCTTTTCTGATCGATTCCACAACGTTTCTTTCACAATGCAATCGCATGACCATAACTGGTCATGAAATCGTGATTCTAGGGTGAAAATGTGTCGATTGAACGCACCCTAAGACATTCAGCGATCTTGATAAAAAATCAATACTTAATCAGAAAAGGGAAGATTATGAAACAATTGTCACCGTGTGTGTTTTGTGTGTGTGTGTGTGTGTATGTGTGTGTTTACATGTGTGCGTGTGCGTTTGTGTGTGTGAGTGTGTGTGTGTGTGTCTGTTTGTCTGACTGTCTTTGTTCAATGCACTGTTTTATTCCTCAACCAGTAACTTGGCGCAAGTGAGATCTGACAGTCTTGTAAAGATTGTCTAATGTTCATTCATGCATGCAGAGATTTAAATGAAAATGGTACCTAAATATACAGGGAGGATAACTCTATAAAAACATATCATGAAACCCATGATTACATATTCATACTTCAAACAATACAACTTTTAAAAAGTGGGACATTTTTTCTGACTCACTTTGTATATCTCACCAAGGTGTCTTCTACCTCACACGAAGTTCAAATTTATTTCATTTCATTAGGGATAGTGAGTGAGCTAACATATTTCCTTCTTCGAGTAAGATTAGATAATATTTCTAGGACTCGGAAAGAGGGGAAGGACATTTTGACACAAGAAGAATGTTTTGTTTCACCTTTTCATAAATTGTTAAAAAGTTGTATTGTTTGAAGTATGAATATGTAATCATGGGTTTCATGATATGTTTTTATAGAGTTATCCTCCCATAATAAAGTGAATCATCACGTTGGAGCAGCACAACCAAGGAAAACTAAACAATTCCATGGCAACATCAACATGGTACCATAAAACAATGTGTAAAGAAAGATTGAGAGATAAAAACATTCAGTGCAGGAAACTATTCCCACCCATTTGTGTACCTTTCACTTTTCTTTCATAGACCAGTCGATTGCTCGGGGAAACCCAAGCTTCTGAGAGGGTTATTTGAAGAAGTTTATATAGTGAGAAGACAAACAAGATACAATAGAACCATACCCTGAGAAAATCAAGGATATCTAACAAAAATCACATCATGCTTAACTCTCGATCATCATGTGAAGATAAATGTAACTAGGGAACATATGAAATGTCTAAAAGTCACTTTTTTGCCCCAAACATACCGTTTTAAGATTTATCTTTTCATTCTTCAAAGATAAGCGGTAAGAAGAATACTTCACAGACTGTCTGTGAAGTAATTCAAATGTTTAGATTTATTCTACTGTACCACATGCATTCAAGAAGATTGGCAAAATTGTTGCAAAACATTTTCTGATAGATAAGTTGGTATTGCGAGAAATACATTTTCTCTCATGCAGTCCTTTTCCTAAATCCTCCATAGATATACCAACACTTTTGTGAAATTGTTTTGGACAACAGGTGTACCCTTTTTGTAAAAATGAATGGCATAAAGTTTAATAACTGGATTAACAACCATGTGATTTGTCACATATCACATATATTACACATTCCCATATGTTATCTTCTCTGTTTGACAGTCTACTGCATAATATGTCATGTCCCTTGTATATATGCCCCACATATGTAATGTCCTTGACTCTTAGATCAGAAAATGTCACTGGTTTGGTACAGATATTGATCAAATTACATGACAGGGTGGCCATATGACCTGACACGACACAAAACTTTCACTTCATCAGCCTGGGAAAAACCCAGGAAAAACCAAGGATAGACCCATATGTAATATGAGTCCGCAAGGGAGCTGGTCTCTGGCAACAACAGGAGAGAAACTTGTTTCACAATACCATGTATGTAAATTATCTACATACATTTCAATTGTTATGTCATGTGACCTAGCACAATGTGTAGTGTCTTCAGATGTACATTATTACAACACAAAGTACCTTAAAGGCTTAAACCTGACATCTGTATAACAATGCAGAAAACTTCAGATTTTATTACTCTCTATCCGGATGAATCTCTGATGTAGTCCAGTAGAATTTTTCAGACCTGGAAAAGTTCAAGTTTTTTTTGTTGATTTGTGTTCTAGATGGGTTTTGAAGTAAATTCAGCTTGGTTGCCAGCTTGGCAACCTAGAGCAACTTTTTAAATAGCTATATTAGCATAATCATCTAATTAGCATATGTGTAATATCATGTAATAATGTTGCTAATCTCAATCCAGGAAGCCTAAAAACATGGATAATACGACCTTTCAAGGGTTTTCTATGATGAGGAATTCATTTACGACAACAGTTTATTTATTCCAAGTAATGCAATTTTCTTAAATAGCATAATTAGCATAATGAGCTAATACGCATTGTTTACATGTGTCATTGTTCATCTATAAAGCCTAATAATGGTGCAATGCAACATTGTAAATCACTTTTGAAAGACTAATCATTAATTCATGAGAAGATTCCATGTAGATGTAGTATAATTAGCCTAATTAGCAGCATAATAATCTAACAAGCATATATGTGCAATATGTAATAATGTTGCTAATCTTAATGCTGGAAGCCTGAAAACATGGAATATGACTTTTCCAGGAATTCTACAACAAGCTTGAGCAATGTCGGGCCTATAATACTCTCAATGGTTCTGGCTCTGGTAAACAAAGACAGATCATAGTTCGCACATGTTTTATTCAACATCCCTGGCCTATGTACATACCTGTCTCACCACATCATCAATCCCATCACTACCAGTATCATCTGCTTTAACCATCTTCAGTGTGTTTCCGACAGTCTCTCTAAATCCAATAACTGTTTTAGTGTTCATTCAATACCCTTGAACTGTATGTATATCACATGATCTCTCATGAGCCCCTGAGTTGAAAGCCCAAAGTAGTGACGATACTTGGACTAAAATTTATAATCTCCCGATTCTTTTGCATAATACTCCTTACATCTTAAAATCTTAATCATACCTGCAAACATCATGAAACTATCGTACTTCAATATCAACAGGAATAACCGAGGGGACACCGATTGTGCCAGGCTTTCTTTATGTACCAGGTAGTATCCCTTCAAGAACCCCCCCCCCCCCCGAGTAACAATCAACTTCAGAATGGGAAATGGATACTGGATAGCGTTCCAAGACCATTTCTTATAAACCCCCCAGTGCATGAAATTATGCTGTGCGAATTGTTATAAATTCAAATGTCGTTCAGGTATAATTGTTGATGAAATATCAATAGCTTTTACGAACACTAATGAATCTTAACCCTGCATGGTAAAACCCATCCTGATTTAATTTCGAAGCCAGAAAATTGCTTTGAGGTATTGAAACAAAGAAATCATGACAGTCACTGTAAATTCAGAAGACGTGACCATCATTGCAGCTACAAAGGTATCATATGATTCGCATCAATGTTCCTCAGATACCTGATATCATTTTTCACCTTCATGCTGGTATTGTTTCTACGATGACCATGCAGTTATTGACATGTCATTTTCGTTCTTTAAAAATACATTTTGGAATGCTTCCGTTGATGAAATGGTGGATACAATCAACCAGAGCATGTGAATCTTTCCTGATAAGTACTGCATACATGCATTTGTATGTCGTTCAGAAATTTTCAAACACAACTAAAAGCTTTCTTAGGAAGAGGTCCTTTTAATAAATAACACATTAATTAATGCCTCATTGTCTATAAATCTCCATGAAGACGGTAAGACTAAGTACAAACCCTTTAACTGTTTTTGAAGATATTATTCCTGAACTTGTTATAACTTGCGATGAATGTAAATTATAACCCTGACTACCAAAAAATCAAACGAACATAGATCAATCTCATAAAACAAAATATAAATTCGTAAGTATATGCTAGACATAAAATATGAAATATGTTAATAGATGTACTTACAGAGGCAGTCGATATCCAGGGGGGCAAGAGCATGCACCTGTTACAGAGTCACATCTACCCCCGTTCTCACACTGACACTCCAAGAGGCACCTTGAGCCATAGGTGTTAGCTGGACATGGGTCAGAACAGGTGGGACCTACAAGTGGAAATAAGATAATGATAAGCACTACTAAGATGAGCTACAGACACAGCACGAACTAGATGGTGGGAACAACAATGCAAGGAATTAGAGGATCTACACCGCAGGGGAAGAACAGACCTTATGTTCAATAAAAGGAAAATTCGATATCAATAAAGGGAAAGGAAAGAACAACACATTAGGGGTTCTGGATGTGAATGGAGAACTGCTAACCAACCAACGGGACATAGAGGAGAGATGGCGCCAGTACGTAGAGGAGCTGTATGCAAGGAACAATAAACCAGTCGCCCTGCCCTTGGAAAGGGAAGATTATGTCATGGCGGATGAGAAGAGGTGCATGCTGTAGTCTGTCAGTTAAAGGAGAAAAAGGCGGCTGGTGAAGATAACATTACGGCTGAATTGCTCAAGAATATGGGGGAAGCTGAATAACGGCACTGACTGAACTATGTCAACATATATATGAACAGGGAATCTGGCCATATAATTGGACAAGAAGCCAGTTAATAAGACTACAAAGGCAATCAGATGCGAGGATCACCGCACTATCAGCCTGGTATCACATGCTTCAAAATTATTGATAAAGGTGTTACCTTAGTTTGAGAAAGCGTCTTGTGAAGTCTCTAGTATGGAGTGTACTGTTGTATAGGGGAGGCGTGGACACTCACTAAAAGGGACATGCAGCGATTGGAGGCGGTCGAAATGTGGTGCTGGCGCAAATGGGTGCGTTTAAGTTTAAATTTTGAAGGCAGAATGAGCGATTTGTAACGCTCATCGTACGTAACCGCAGTTCCACGGTGTACTGTTTATGCTCACTTCTCTGGCTCCTCCAGGCAATTCTCCCTGGGTGGCCTTAATTGGCCTTGCAGCGGGATTCGCAAATCTGCACTGTGCATGCTACGTTGACCCACTAAAGATCAGTGCTTTGACCCCATTTAAACGCGTTTACGAATTGTAAACGCATCTTTTTGTGAGTTTACGATCGGCGATCGTGATCGCCGTTTTTCGGTGATTCTACAAAAGTGAGAAAGGACGCAGCCGTGTTTTAAACTAAACGCGTAAGAAGATGCCTGATTCCGGCCGGAAAAAAGTTAAGCATAAACACGCCCTTGGAGGGACAGAGTTTCGAATGAAGAGGTGTTGCGTCGAGCTCAAGAAAAGCGGGTGCTGATTCAAACGATTAGAGAGAGACAGAAGAAATGGCTTGGAAACATAATGCGGCATGATGAGGGCTTGATGCTCAGAGTCATAGAAGGTCGTTTTCATGGAAAAAAAGAAGAGGGGAAGACCTCGTAAAGGCTTTCTAGACGATGTAATTACAGAATGTGGAGCAACAGGGTATGAAATGCTGAAACGGATGGATCAAAACCGAGGAACTTGGAGAGACAATTGATATAAAATTTTGATTGGGTCACTGAACCTGGAATAAACTGACAGATCACTATTGATAATGATGAAGCACTACTACAAAATCATCTATACAAATTAAATTAATTGACATATATCTGTTCAACCATGCAACAGGACTGTCAGCTGAAATTTGTCATAATGACCACAACATCACCTTATTATTGCTGTAAGATCCCTCCAAAATCAGATTAATAAAATAATTGAAATTAGATGAGATATAATATTTTACAAATGTATATTCTTCCTATAACAGGTGTCCCGAACTGTCAAATTGCAATTTCAGGGTACTGCAAGCCTTCCGGTTAGAGAAAAGTCCTTCATGATCTGCAGCAAATCATGCAGCACATAAGCAAAATAAACATATCTTTCCTACTGCAAGGCTTCAATAACATGCAATTTGTAAAAGACCGTTGGGGACCTCAGTTGGATACAATAATCCATATTTAAAATGCCAAATTTAACTTTCCAATTCTAGTTGTACAGTTATAGTCACATCATAAGGTGTACAATGGTCATTAGCCCAGCGTCAGTCTACAACGGAAGTAAAAATCATTACAAAACGACAGACATGTATCTGCTAAAATTTTATGATTCATATTTAAATAAAATTTCACTCAATTGGATGGAGCTTCATCACCATCTCATTACCATTTAACACAAAGCAATTTATTAATAATGCATTACCAATGCATGCATGCTACACTCTAGGGAGTGCTCTATTATTAATGATGGTAATTTAGTTTGAAAAGCCCAGTAGGACCTGGTTGCATCAAATGAGATGTACTGAACTTGAGGTGTGAGGCTCACCGCAGATGGGATGGCAGACACGTAGTATCTGAGGAATAACATAAATAACCTACAGCGCATACTGACATATTTGTGATATGCACTACTTAACTATGGCACATTATTATTATTATTATTAGACTTAATGTTTTCTTTAGTGTCAGTAATATCTTGAGCCATTTGTATGTAATGAAATTATTTATGACTGTGTGTACACAGTATAAGTATTGCATTCGTTTTTTAAATTCGCCAAACTCGATTCTTATTTGAGCATTTAACTTCAATTTACTAAAGTAAAACTCTGCACAATTTTGTTTTTACAATAGAGTTATGATTAAAAGAAGAGATGTATCTAAATTCAATAGAAATAATATAAACAATATGCATCAATGATAAATATTAGTTTAGGGTAATTGTCATTTCTGATAGTTAATAAATGGGTTACCTGAGAAACCTGCTTGACAGGTACAGCTTCCGTCCGTAGGGTCACATGATGCTCCGTTAGAGCACCCACAAAGTTTAAGACATTTACTGCCCCACATCTGATCTGGGCAAGCTGGTAAAAGATAAAACAATAATATTTTCTTACAATATGCAGAACCATTGAAAGTTGAGATATTGAGATATTAATAGAGTTAGATTACTGCTGATATGATTATTATTGACCCTACTTTTATCTTAGTAAAATTTCTTCTTTTTCTTTTGATTTGATTTTTCAAGTAAACATAAGGAAATTACAACAAAGTAAGAGCTCAGGGATATACAAACATAAAATCAAGAGTAGAAGAAAGACAAGGCAATAATATTAGAATAACGAAAGACAGGGCCCCGTCTTACAAAGATTGATATCAATCGTAACTTATTTGCGATTGATATCAATCGCAACTATGTACATAAGAGATAGGAGACTGCAACTTGCGATTGATTGGAGGACTCGCAATGGATTTGGATCAATCGTAACTCTTTGTAAGACGGGGCCCTGGTCTAGAAGAGTGCGAAAGAAACAAAGAAAATTCCCCCAAATTAAGAAAAAACATAGAGAGGAGAATCTCTATGGTTTGATAATTTCTAAAGTGCATGCAATATTTTTTTTAATGCAATGAAAATGTATATTGTACAAATATTTTAGGACACAAGAAGAAAATATAACTCTACTATCTATGATCTACATCATGGCCATTAACATCCATATTTGGTCAAATATATTTCCGCCTAGGTAGATACAGAAAACTAAGATTTAAATAAATATAGGGATCCGGTATCAGATAAGCAAAACAAACAGCATCTTAAAACTATGCCAGGTCACCGGAAAAAAACTTTCACTGCAGAGTTGACCATCGGGTGTATATAAAAGCAGGAACGTTATGTATCCCAAAGGGAGCCACCTGTTTACACCCGAGAGACAGGACGGTGTCTGGACGGTGTCTTAGAACGGACAGGACTACGCGGTAACCTACAGGATACAAAAATCTACATTTTGTTGTATTTTTTTTTCTTCATCTATTTTCTCTTTCATTTCATTTTAAGGGGGAAAAAAGAAAAAGAAAAAAAGAGAGAATCCTATATTTAATTTTTATTTTTGATACTTTTATTTTTAAAAAAGAAAGAAAGAAATTAATATTAAAAAGAAAGGCGTTGGTGATAATAGACAGGATTGCCATTACAACAAAAAAACAACAACAACTGTTCTATTAAAAACAAAATATACAACATTTCTGTATTTTCAAGGTTATCCAAAAACGATTCACTCCGAGTGATCACTGATTTAAATTTTAAAAAACCCTGATAGAATCGCCTAGTAACTTTCACAACTTGTTTGTATGATTGAACATGTAGGCTTCGATTTGTGGTAATTTTTTTTTTCTAATACAGGAATAACAAGATCACTTTTTTTATCGACAAAAAGGAGAGCTTTATATTTTCCTTTTTACTGATTTCATATAGGCTAGCTACTGCATGTAGGCTCGGAGAGAAAAAAAAAACCTTAGATGGTGACCATCCTTGAAGATCCTTGCCATCTACAGTACACGTATGTCACACGAGAGAAATTAATAAATCCATGTTAGTCGTAAGGCATTGACACTAACTTTGGTGAATTGTCAGTTTATGATGAAACAAGCTTATTAGCAGAGTCGGGCACATTTTCATAAAATCCCTCCCATTGTATGATTCATTTGTCTATTTTCATCCCATCTAATCTCTAAGCCTACCACTCCCACTAGAGCTTTAATCACCATTTGTGCCTCATGTTCTAGCAGTGAACCCCCAACTATAGTCACAGATCACGCTATGAATTTCAATTCAATTTCAATTCAATTTTAATTCGCATTTATTTTATTCTCGATTAAAAATTACATTGATACAAAAGATAAACAAATTAAGAAAATGAAATGGGGAACTACATAAAAAAAGGCCCTTATGCCTTGTACAAGCATAGTTCCCAAAGCATTCATAGCATGATAAACAAAAACAAAGATAAAAACAAAACATTAATAACAAAATAAACAAAAAACAAATAACACAAATATAAACATAAGATAAACATCTATACATATTTGAAAAAAAGAAACTGCTTCAAATTTGTTTCAAAGGAATTAGCTGACTTGCAATCAGAACCATCTTTGAGGATGGAATTCCAAATCACAGGGAAATTATGTCGTACTGATTTCATAACCTTATTTGTTTTTACTGGCCATACGTGAAAGGAATCCTTAAAACGGGTATTGTGATTATGTATCTGGTAATTAAGAGTGAACATCTGAAAAAATATTAACAGGTAATTTATTTTGAAAGTAA